AAATTTGAAAAATAAAAAATTATTTAAATTATTTATAAATTCTTATTCAGATCTAGCCATTTTTACTTTTGATATAGTCTCTTTTAATTTTATTTTTTATATTGATTTGGTGTAATTTGTAGTCATACCTGTATACACTATTTGCATGTCTTATTTTTAAGTAAAAATATTTTACTCTTTGCCACTTGGTTGTCATAATCATCATTTTTATTGTCTTTAAAATATTCTCTAGAGTAGCACTGTCCAATGGAAATAAAATACAAGCTACATATGCCATTTAAAATTTTCTCTTAGCCACAGCTGAAAAAATAAAACACATGTAAAATTGATGTTAAAATTATATTTTATATAACTCAGCATTTCTGAAATATTTCTCATTTGAACATACACCCATAAAAAATTCTTAATTAAATTTTAACACTTTTTTAATTAAATTTTTTAATTTTCTTATATTGTTCTTCATTTTTGCACAGCATTTAATTTCTCCACTCAGGTATAGTCTCCATAAATCTCCTACCACAATATCATCCATGAACCATCACATAGTCCCTTATGCTCATCCCTCCCCTATTTTGACCCACCTCCCTCCCCTTCTGCTGCTGTATGCCTCAGATCTACAATTTGCCTGCAAGTTTTGCCTCTTTTTTTTTTTCACCCTTTGTTCAGTTTCCCTATATTCCTCTTATAATTGAAACTATCTGATATTTTTCTTTTTCCTTCTGACTTACTTCACTCTTCTAGCTCCATCCATGTTGCTGTGAATGGCATGAGTTTACCTTTTTTGATTACAAATAGTATTCCATTGTGTATATATACCACATCTTTTTGATCCACTCATCAATCAGTTTTCAGGCATTTAGGTTGTTTCTATATCTAAGCTATTGTAAATAGTGCTGCAATAATCATAGGAGTGCAAGTTTCCTTTCAAATTAATGTTTTTGTGTCCTTTGGGTAGATTCCTAGAAGTAGAATCACTGGGTCATATCATAGATCCATTTTTAGTAATTTGAGGAACCTCCACACAACTTTCCATAGTGGTTGGATCAGTCTACATTCCCACCAGCATTGTAAGAGGGTTTCTTTTCTTCACATCTTTGCCAGCATTTGTTGGTGGTGGTATCTTATTGTGGTTTTGATTTGCATTTCCCTGATTATAAGTGATGTTGAGTATTTTCTTCCAATCTGTAGGTTGCTTCTTCATTTTGATTATTATCTCTTTTACTGTACGGAAGCTTCAGTGTGATGTAGTACCAGCTTTCCCTTCATTTTCTTTGCTTCTGGGGATGAGTCCTCAAAGATGTTTCAGAGACATAGGTCATGGAGTGTTGTGCCTATATGTTTCAGGTCTTACATTCAAGTCTTTTATATATTTTAACTTGTTTTTTGTGTATGGTATGAGGTAGTAATCTAGTTTCATTCTTTTGCTTGTAGTGGCCCAGTTTTCCCGGCACCATTTATTGAAGAGACTATTCTTGATTTTAACATTTTTTTATAGTGTCTTTGAAATTGGTGTCTATTTTACATTTATAATATAGTCACTTCAGTCACAGAATTGCCAATAGTTGAAATGAAATGTAGTACTACCAAAACAAAAAATTGTCCAGAAAAATATGTTGTACTTCTTCAAAACAAGGTTCCTATTATACAGATTGAAATCCTAATGAAAAAACCATAAGATTTTGTTCATTATATAAAATCATTTTTCTAAACTGTAGCCATACATATTATTGGCCTATTTTTATTATAACCTTGACACTTGAAAATAATTATTTTTATAATTTCAGTGCTTTTATTTTTGATGGTAATACAGTTTGGATCGTGTGGCCTCGTAAGGATTATAAATTTAGGAAGAAAAATTATGGTTGGCATTAATTTTAAGATTTTGCAATCTTGCAGCACAAACCCTAAATTATTTAAATACTAAACATGTACTTAAAGAAAGACAAGAAAGCATCCAAAAATGGAATTAAATTGTGAATTTGCCTTACTTAAAAACCAATCATTTTTGTTTATTCTTCGTAAAATTAACCAAATTAACTATACTTTTGACACCACAATATTCTTGTGTTGCATCTTAAGGTGTGTACAACGTATACATTTGAAATGAGGCCAAATTTAAACTCCAGGGGTGTGCTGTTCTGTACCTTAAATTACTATCAGATGTATTTTAGCACAGATAATATTTTCAGTCTGAGGTTGGTGAGAAGGCTAGACCAGGTTACTATTTATATAGACCATTATTCTATGGCTGTCTGTGATTAATCCACAGCTGGCAGAATCCTAGCACTGGGAGGTTTTTATTTCATGCTGGAACAGCATGGGGAGTAGTAGGGGGGGAAGCTTTAAACTCTTCTCATTAAATGAAAGTCTAAAAAGCAAGTACATACATACATATTACTATGGAGACAAGATGCAATATAAACTGTTCATTTAATTCTCCAAGTGACAAAAATCATAAAGGAAGCAGTTTGGATGTTTCAAGTGACGTGGTATTTGGTTTAAAAAGTAAGATGAAAACATTTAAATAAAAGTAATGTTACCTAATATTAAGACTTCTTACCTTTTTAGAACGGTTGAACATTAGTAAAGAAATAATGGGTTGGTGTTTTTTAATGATAAGAATATATTATTTATTATGATATGAAAACATTTTTATTAGAATTTAATTAGTGATACTTTAAAGTGATGAGACGATTATATTCTCTCTTAATAAAATACTCTTAGTAAAATTTCCTCTTAGTTTCTCAGCAATTATAGGGACAATAATCCCTTCAAAGAAGGATTCCAGTACACATGACTGTCATAATATTAATTTCTTAGCATTCTCTTATTATTCAATTTGAAATTTGAAAATAATAGATAAAATCCTTTTTTATAAACTTTGTAAAGTTTCTATGATAAAAGTAGTTGGTTCCTCAGTCTTTAGTGAATATTTCAATAGCTTTTTTGTAACTTAAAAAAAAGTTTCCTTTACTTTTTCAGGATTATTTCTTCAATTAATAAACTAGCTCTTCTGCCCTCATTCTCATTGTCATTTCCTCTGTTTTTTTTGTTCTAATTCTTCTCCCTCTCTTGCTTCTTCATTCTTGTTTCTCCTCTGAATTCTTTTCCTTAAAGAGTAAAACTTAAAAATTTATTTTTTTAAAAACAACTCTCCTTCTCCTTTTCCCTCACTAAAAATAGCTTTATTCTCTTTTATCTACTCAAACTAATGGCATCATCTGTGGAGTCATTTGAATCTAAGTTCCATCAACTTTATGATCTGGAGTGCATTTTCAACTTTCATGTCTTCCCACCTGTTTTCATAAAATGAAAATTAGAAGTGTCCATCTCATAAATTTGTTGTGAAAAAAAGTTGATAATAACTAGTTAATATACATGAAGTTGTTTACTATAGTATTTAGAATGCAAGAATTACTCAGTAAATTTCAATTATTCTATTATTATTGACTCATAAAATCCCAAAATAATTTACAACCCTTCTCTTTGCTTTCTCACCATACTTTCTTTAACAACTGTCTATTTTTACCTTGATACCATAGACATCAGATGCCTTCTCCTAAATAATTAAATCCAGTGGGTTTTAATCAGTTCTTTCTATCTCTACCCATTGTATATCTCTACATATCTTCCTGATATCTCCCTTGCTGGATTTTTCTCTCATTTCTATTCTTTTCCTCTTGTTGTCACCTTTATTTTGTCTTTTCTTCTCTCTCTCTCAAGTTTTATTTGTTTCCATTCTTTCCTTTTTCTATAGTCTCTTTCTTGGTACAACCCCTCATTTACCATCACCTTTCTCCATGACCTTTCTCCTGAGTCCAACTTGCTGATCTGTATTTGGACATCCTGTAACACCTCCACATTCTCTTTTTACGTGTAAGCCAAATCTTATTCTGGATTTTCCTACTTCTATTAATGGTAGAGGCAGATTCAAAATCTCAGTCTTCAAGCAATAAAAGCCTGCATTTGGTTCTCTTCTCCTTTGCTTCCTACATCTTAAACAATGCCAAGACCAGTATGTAATATTTCTAGTGTATAAGATCTTCCATGTATGACTTTCTTTTACAGAACCAAATGCAGGCTGTTGCAAGTTGTTGCTGAAGTAATGCTGTCTAGATTAATGTTACTTTAAATTTTTCTACAAACTTTTATTCCTTTCTTTCAGGAAAACATGCTTACTCACCATCTTTCCCCATTCCACCGACTAAACTTCTAACCTTTCAGTCAGCTCCTAACCTTTAGCCTTTCCAATTTCATCTTCCATTTTACTTTGCATATTACTTCACTCACTAGTGTACTATCCAAACTAGTTTCCTATATAAGCCTAAACTTTCTTTCATCTGGACAGCATTTATATATATTTTGTAAAAATCCCCATTAATATTGAAAATATAGAAAAGTAGCATTTTTAAATGTAACTTCCCTCACATAAAATTTTTAATTAAAACATTTTTATTGTATTATTGCATTAATTTCTCATTATTTGAAAATTCTAATTCAGAATAGTTCTTAAAAATGTGGTTTAGATGTTTCAAAAGGTAACAAGCTATGATCTTAATAAACTAATGTCACTTTTAAGCTATGATTATTTTTAAATAAATGCCATAGCACTTATATAATGTAAACTGTTTGTAAGAAACTAGAAGGATCCACTCTGCCTTCATTACTTTTTCTCTGAATTTAAATGCAATTTTTGTATTGATAGATCTTTCAAATATTTTGTCTTAAGTAGATTTCCAGATTTCCCTCAGGATTGATTATACAAATCTAATATAAAATAAGTAATGTTTTATACTCTGATATAATGGCATGTCTCAAGCATATAGTACGCATGTGATAAACTTTTCTCCTGATCAAATACTGCCATTTTCTCTCTTGTCTTGTATAACTGTATTTTATATAGTTTTTTTGGTATTTTTTATGGATTCCTTTTACTGTCACTGCGAGTGACTCTACAGAGACAGCATTTCTAATTTTCCTTCCTTATTTTCTTTATCCAGGGCTTTTTTCTTACAGTTTCCCCAGAGTCAGTATTAAAAGTGGCTCACCATGCTTCTGAAAACAACAGAATTTTCACTTTGAATTTGTCTGCACCATTTATTAGCCAGTTCTACAAGGACTCATTGATGAAAGTTTTACCTTATGTTGACATACTTTTTGGAAATGAGACGGTGAGTTTCTTTTTATTTTAAGTTCTTGAAGTATTTTTTTTAATTTGTCTATATGTTTAGAAATGTAAATGAAAAACTCAAAATTTATATAAATATATTTGAGAAATACCCAGTGCCTCAATATGGATCACTCTAATTCAATATTTCTTTCAGTGCATAACTTCTTATGTAGTAAAATTTAGTTTTTTTAAGTTTTAGGTAACTGAGGATTATAATTCACTTATATTAAAAATTCACTTTTGAATGAACTTTTGCAAATGCAGTTCTGATACATAACCATGACCACAGTCAAAATAAAAAGTCACCCCTTTTAGTCCACCTCTTTTAGTCCACTTTTTATCACCCCTTTTAGTCCACCTCTTCATTTCACCCTGAGCCCTTGACATCAACTGGTGTGTTTTCTAAAGAGTAAAATAATTTTTTCCTTTGATATTTTCATAGGCATGTGATATACAATAAGTGTCTTATGAAGTTAAGTATCTCTTGAAAGTCTGAGTCTTTTAATAAATTATGAGGAAATATTGGTAATTGCAAAATTGTATTAACTCTTGATTGATAGTATTATTTTTGCTAATGTTTATATGTTGTATTTAAAGGTGATAAAATGGAATTTTATTTAAACTCTTACAGCTTTTTCTTTCTATTTAGTACATATTTCTCTTTATTCTAAATTACTGGAAAATTATCTTTTTGCTTATCTAGTGTTTATGGCTATATTTAACCTGTGGACTTCAAAAATTCATGAAATAGAAGAAAAAGAGGCCTTTACTGTCTTCATATGAACTGGGCAGTATCATGTAACTTTCATGAATTTCAGGGTCTTATAATGTGTTAAATGAAAGTTTAGTTTTAATCATCCCAGAAGTGAATTTTGATTATGATTCTGTGATTCTATCATAGTTTGATTATATTCATTGACTTTCTAAGTAAAGTAACAGTTTTGACTGCCTAGAAATAATATAAAAGTAGACCTGGAAATAATTTATGAGATCACCGGGGTGAAGATTAAAGGATTGATTTGTAGAAATAAGATTGTGTGGGTATCTTCAAAGGCATTAACCAGTTGAAAGAAATGCTGGATTCTTGACAATTCACAAACTCACCTGACAGCAAGGAAGAGTGGCAAAGTGTTGCATTTCTAGGTGTCTGCTGAAAGTCTCATGTGACTGAAATTTATGTTTTACAGTTTTCTTATTGCCAGTTTTATTTTCTAAAGGGTAAAGGAAGTAATTAGAAAAATACTATTCTATCCTGTAAGTAACATGAGGAAATTTATTATCAATATGGAAGTCTGACAGTCCTTAGAAGAAATCGTTATTTGATCTCAGACTTCTTTATAGTCAGTAAAGATTAGACTTGGAATAAATACTTAAATATATGCCCTGAGCTTTAAGAAGACACACTTCAAAACTTTTTTCAGAAGGTCAGATCAATATGATTCCAGAGAATGAGATTTTGGATGTGAAAACAACTTAAGAGTATTGAATACCATCAAAAATTCAGTTCTGACTTTATAATCTTAAATGACCTTAGTTAGGAAGAAAATGGGGAGGGAAGAACCTTAAAAATTTTTCAGAGCATGCAGAAAACTCTTTATTCAAAGTCCACATTTGTAAAACATATGTAAAATAAAATGGAAAGAATTTATAGAAACAAGGAACAATGTTAAAAGTTTGGTAGAGACTTGGGAAAATAGAAAAGAAAGACTCCAAAATGCACAGGCAACGACAAAACATTAAATTGGAGTTCATCATAATTTAAAACTTTAACATCAAAGTAGACTCAAGAAAGTAAAAAGACAGCTCAGGGAATAGAATATTTGAAAATGATATATCTGACAAGCCAAAGAACTTAAATAAAACATCTCTCAAAAAAAGTTATACAGGGCCTCCCTGGTGGCGCAATGGTTGAGCGCTGGGTTGCTCACAGCCTGTGCGGCGCCGGTTGGATCCCCGACTGCTTCCCGGCCACCGGAGGAGGGTCCCTCATGGCGCAGCAGACCTCTCCTGCCGCCCGCTGCTCCCCTCAGCAGTATACTTCGGTCCTTCTGCCTGCTCTGCTCCCCGCTCTGGCTCTGGTGAATTCTCTCACCCTCCTGCGCTTCTGACTGTACCCAGTGCTTGTATAAATAAATAAATAAATCTTAAAAAAAAAAAAAAGTTATACAGATGGCAAATAAGCATATGAAAAGATGCTCACCATTAATGATCAATTCTGCAAACTAGTAAAGTTTACATTTGACTACAACTTAGTTTAAGAAATTAAAGGAATTATTTTTCCCAACCAGTAGAGGAAATGGTAAAACTGTAAGAGGCTACATGACTGTAAGTTATGTCAGGATAACTTTTTACTTTTTTAGTTTGACCACTTTTCATCTTAACTCATTTCAGTAGACATATAGTATCTATTATGGCAGACCAATAAACAATGGTATATAGAATATTTGAAACAAACTGTTTAATATGGGTTATAGAATAATAAATATTGGATACAGAGCAATTAGATATATTTGTTATTTTGTCAATCCAGTCTCAAAAAGTCTGCTGATTGAGTTCTAGTTATATGTTTCAGTGTGTCTATACCCTGAGCTTTGCTCAAGTAAATTATCAATGAGTCAGATAAAGTTGTATTTGCAGAGTGCAAATACAGAGAATGGAAATAAAGCAACACTTAAACAAATACCAAGTAAATTAACTGTAAAAGTGAGGCTTTGAAACTTTTAATACCTGGAATCTAATATCATTTTGAGTGATGAATTTAATAAGGATAAATAAAAATGACACCATATTTGATTATAAAAAGCAATTAAGATATTGTAAACTTTCGTTAATCTCATCTGTCCTTGTTCTTCTACTGGAAAGCTCTAGTAATAATAATCTGTTCCATTTTCTGGGAAGGAAAAGGAGCATTTTATATCTACAATGCAATGAAATATAAAATATATTTCTCGGGGAATACATATAGGATTGTCTTATCTTTCTTTCTCTCCACTTGCCCCCCGCCCACCAAGACAATGAAATCCACAATGTTTAGTATAAATTTTCAAAATGTCAACATTTAGCAGAACCAAAAACACTTGATTCTTATTTTCTGTCTGATGACCCCTACCCTTTCTCAGAGAATTATATAGTAATAATGACATTTATGATGAAATATTAAAATATTCAATTAAATATTTTTTAAAGTTAAATATTAAAAATACTTTTTAAAAGAAAACCTCATTCACCAAGACTTTGTCCTCACATGCAATGAAGATAGAGGTTCCTGTGAGCCCTTTGATTACTCCAGTTTACCAGTTGGAAAGGATTTCTAGGCCTCTGCACAAAGAGGGGAATCTGCATAGAGCTTGGCTTTATCTTTGAATTGAGGAAATAGAGCTAGAAGGTCAAGAAATCTAAGACAGAGTTTCACAAATCAGAAGTACAAGAGAGCTACATAGAGAGAGAACACAGGAGATATGCAGATAGAGTAATTCAGAACACTAATGGGGCAAAATTAGCCTAAATTAGAAACTCCTGTAATCCCTCCTAACAATATTATCCCAAAATATTTGGCATTATCCCAATACATGTAATGGACAAACTCCCTGAAAGACATAAAATACCATGGCAAACACAAGATGGAATAGAAGTAAGGCTGTTCAGGTTACATACTAAAGAATTTGTATTTTTAGTTAAGACCTATTCCACAAAGAAAATTCAAGGACCAATGTTTTTCATGTTGAATTCTGTCACACATTTAAGAAAGAAATAATAAAAGTTCCATTAAAACTGTCCCAGAAGATGGAAGAGGAAAAACTACCAAAACCAAAGAATTACAAGAAAACTATAGCCCAGTATCCCTCAAAACACACACGTAAAAATTCTTAAGATAACTTTAGCATAGCAAGCCCAACTATATGTTAGAAGGATAATTCATCATGACCAGGAATGAAATGGTTTAACATGACAAAAGAATTAATATAATTCACCTTAGTAAAACTAAAAGAGATAAAACATGATCATTGTATAGACACTAAAAAAAACTTTTGGCACAATCCATAATCATTCCTGATAAAAGTTCTCAGGATATGATGAATAGAAATTTCTTCAACCCAATAAAGGGCACCCACAAAAAATGTATAGCTAACATAACTTGATTTTGGAAAACCAAGTCTATTCCTCACAAAGCAAGGGTGTTCATTTTCTTCACTTCTTTTTAACATTGTGTTAGAGTTTTTAGCCAATGCTGCTAATGCATGATAAACATCCAAATTAGAAAAGTAATTCTGTCTCTATTATCAAACACCATGATATCTTTGTGAAAAATTCTGTGAAATCTACAAAAACTATTGAAACTAAAACTGAGTTTAGCTAAGTTGCATGATATAAGATAAACATATAATACCAAATTATATATTGGCAATATTCAGAAACTGAAATTTTAAAATATTCCCAATACAAAAAAATGACATATTTTATGTAAACCTGACATGAGATATGCAAAACCTGTATTCTGAACACAATAAAACATTATTGAAAAATTAAAGAAGAATTAAATAAAGGGAGAAGCAAACTTACTCTAAAATTCATATGGAAAAGAACTAGAACTAGAATAGCCAAACCAGTTATCAAGAAAACCAATCAGAGGACCAATCAAAGTTACATGATTTCAAGACTTATTAGAAAGCTATAGTAATCAATACCATATGATATTGATAGAAAGATAAACAAATGATCCACAGAACAGAAGAGATAGTCTAGAAATAGACCAACAGTTGATTTTTACAGTTTCAGATGTCATTCTGTGGAGAACAGTCGTTAGCAAACCATTTGGCAGCACTAATTACAATAGCTAAGCTATGGAAACAACCCAAATGCCCAAAAATAGATGACTGGATCAAGAAGATGTGGTACATATACACAATGGAATACTAATCATCAATCAAAAAAGATAAACGCATGCAGTTTGTAGCAACATGGATGGAGCTGGAAGGGATCATGCTCAGCAAAATAAGCCAG